ATGAAAACATAAATATCCCTAGAAAGAGCATGTCAGCAATTGTCCTTCTATTTACCAATAGAGTGAGAACTGATTCTGAAGAGTATATTTACCCAAACATTGATAAAGTTAACCTTACCATTGAGGGTGTGCCTAATGCAGTCTTCTCCCAAGGACTTCCTAAAAGTAGGTTCTTTGAAGAGGCAAAACGATTCTTTTGTCCTATGTGTGAGAAATCCATGGCAGACGAATTTATGTCTATCAGTAGGTTCTTCAGCACCGGTTTCGCCCTAGTAGTAGATCTAAGGTCAACACAGGATGACACCACTGGAGGAGGTAGAAAGATTGTTAACACACAGTCAGGCGTACTCATGGAAATCAAAAAGAGAGCCACAACAGCTGACGTTCAATGCAATATTTTTATTATATCAGATGCCCTCCTTAACTTGCTAATAGGGATTTATCAAGTATTCAATACTAGGTACCCTGCGTAGTTTGTACCGACTACGTCAGTAGACGCTGCTAGCACAGCTAGTACTAACGGTAAAGCATAGAGATGCAACTTGAACCACCATTCAACATGCTTATAGTAGGAATGACAGGAAGTGGTAAAACTCAGTTCTTACTAAATATGTTAGAAACAGAATACAATAAAGTTTTCGATTATATTGTGATTATATGTCCAACAATAGAATGGAATATGACTTACATTAACTGGGCTCATATTAGTGACCACGGAGTCATACAAATTCCATGTTCACAAGAAATGATCAATCTAGTTCTGAAGGCAGTGTCCACCATATTTCGTGGAACTCAAACTCTCATTATAGTGGACGATTGTGCAGCAAGTCAAGATGTAAAGAAAAGAGTCTCAGAACTGGTGCGCCTAGCTTTCTCTGCAAGACATTACAACTTATCTGTTATTGTAATTACTCAACAACTGTCATCAGTAGCGAAACCATTCAGGGAGAACATTTCCAGGTTAGTTACATTTTACAACCCTAGTCGTAGGGATATGAAGGTGATAACAGATGATTACCTAAGTGGTGTCCCTCAGGAGACAATTGCGGAGATTACAAAAATACTAAAAGATAGGAAGTTCACCGCACTAGATATACTACTTATTCACCCTTACACATACACTATCAAACAAAACATCACGTAGGATATAAAAAATGGGATCTGAATCTGATGAAGAAATATCTGCGGCTGTGAGGGAAGTAGAAGAGGCCGCAAAGACACCGCAAAAGAAAGCTAAGCCTACCGCAAGAAAAACCAAGTCAGCCGCAGATAAGTCGCAAACTGAAAGTAAAAGAGACAAGCTTATAGAGCTGTCTAGGGATGGTGTAATAGAGAAGTCCGCAAGTTTTATAAGAAAGTCCAACAAGGATGTTGTGGATACACTATACCACGAGTACGAAAGTCAGAGGATGTCATGCGCAAGTGACTTCTTATCAACTCTTATTATCTCAAAGTTTGCTTCTGTATTAGGAAGTTTTGGTGCAGTGGAATCTTCAGAGAAACTGTCAGATGAACTACTTAGTGATAAACTTCTAAAGGATGACGTATCATATCTAACTAGAATGATATCCCCCAACATTTCATTCATAGGTTTAATATCAGGTGGTTGTACAACAGCCAAGCATGTTGTTGCGCATAAGTGAAACAAGAAGGAGGAACCTGAGGAAATATCTGAGGAAGCTAAACATATCTTATTAAATACAGAAGAAGAAGAATGTCGGGATACGAGTGGGAAAACGCTTGGGAAGGAACAGAGTTTGAAGATATAATTACTGAGCTGATTGAAAAAACCAACGTTAACAAGGAGAAGCTAGATGGGATCCAGAAAACCCTTGACTCATTAGAGAAAGACCTATATTCACTTAGAAATAAAATCGTAGGACCACTCCAGTATGACTTCCACACATTCAAGACTGATACGATAAAAACAGTTGTAAATATATACAAGAAACTACATGAGACGTAGTATTTTTAAACCAGGGGGCTAACAAGCTGGGTGGGTAGAGGGAACTTAGTGTGGGGCTCAACCTAAGTCTCACCATTAATCAAATTTAAATGTCAGATAAATAGTCATTAAATAGACATAAATATTTTTACATATATAGTATAGAGAAAGATGGAAAAACTATTCAGGAACCGGAAGTTGAATGTTAGTGTGAGAGCTGTAGAGAGTGGTGAGGATGTACTGTTTTATGCAAAAGATGTGGCAGAATCTCTAGGGTACTCCGATCCGAAGAAGGCAGTTCAGAAATTAGTTAGGAAACAAAATAAGGTAAGCGTATACGAGTTACGCAAGAGGGGCGATTCGCCCCTCTTACAGAAATGTCACCCACAGACAATCTTACTTTTTGAACCTGGTTTGTACCAGCTAATATGTAGCTCAAGACTTCCAATAGCTGAGGACTTCCAGGACTGGGTTTTCAGGGAAGTCCTACCATCCATCCGTAAAACAGGCTCGTATAATTTACCAGATAGAAGGTCACTCAGATATAACCAAATAATCCTTATAAATGAAACGGACCTTCATCACGCAGTTGTGAGTTACATTAGAGACAACTACCCAGAGGCCGTAATAATACCTAGTCTAGGTGAGTATCAGGACACGGTGTCAAAGAGATGTGATGCCTGGAAAAAGGGATATAAAGGTGGTCAGCCGGATCTTATTATAGAGAATCCTATGGGGAAGTATAAAGGATATGCCATTGAATTTAAGTCTCCTAATGGCACTGGAATTGCAAGTGAGAAGCAAGTATTATGGCTTCGTAAGCTTATGGAAATAGGGTATATGGTAATGATATCCGACGACTTGATAAAAACTTGTATTAGAATTAACGAGTACTTCACACTTAAGAAAACCGTAAGAAAAGTTGCAGTGAAAATTACCGCTAGCGGTGCGAAGACGTACAGACCAAAGTTCAAATCAGATAAGTACTAAGTTATCTCACCAGCAGATTCAAGGTATCTCACCAGTTATCTCACCAGTAGATTTAAGTTATCTCACCAGTAGATTTGAGACATCTTACAAGTAAATTTAAGTTATCTCACAAGTGGACTCCAGATGTTCCATAAGATGAAACCCAGTTAAACCTAAGGTATCTTACAAGTAGAATGGAAGACAAACCTGAGCAAACTCAAGTATCAGTAACAAGTGAAAAGAAGAAAGACCCAAAAAGAGTAGCCGCAGGAAAACGATTAGCTGCAATCAGCAAAATAGCAAAGGAGAGGAAAAAGAAACTTGAAGAACCTAGGGAGTCATCTAGTAATACCATTATCACATATGTAGGAGTGGCTATCGCATTGATATCTCTTATTCTAGCATATAATCAGCATCAGAGGGAAACAAAGGAACCAGAGTCTAAGTACATCCCTGAAACTGTAGAAGTAACTAGGAAGGCTGACGCGTCTAAGTTAGATTCACTTGAATGATACATTAAACATACTATATATTATAACAAGATGAGTAAAGAATCGAAGATGACTGTGGAAGTGTACAACGCAGTGTTACTTACAGCAGGAGCAGTTGGTATATCAATGGCATCGAAAAAACTATTGAAAGAACCGTTAGGCACCCCAAAGAATGTAAAAGGAATGGCAAAGCTAGCTGTCTCAGTTAGCCTCTCATCTCTACTGGTCTCTTACTTGAAAGAAAAGAAGTATCTACCAGATGATCCATTCAAAACATAGGTAAGACTATACAATGGCGGGAGCAGTAGCAGGAGGACTATTTAACGCATTCGCATTTGCTGGAGCGGGATACTTATTTAAAATGTTTGACAAAAACGGATATGCTGAGGAGGCTCACAGACACAACATTGCTATGGAGAACCTAACATCCGAAAGAGAGAAGTACCTTGAGGAAGTCACCAACAGGAGAAATAGAATTGCGCAACTTAAGTCAGAACTAGCTGAGGCAAGTAGGGATATTAATGCAACAAATAAGTCACTGGAACTCGTCAGGAGAATCAATGAGTTAACACGTACGGCTATGCCAAGAAAGCCACAACTGAGCAATCACTACAAACCTAGCTCAGAGATGGAAGAATATATGGCAATCTTTGGTTTAATCACAGGTGGGGTGGTTGGAGGGGCAGCTTATTTAATGCTATAAAAATACCGCAAAAAATTTTCATATATATAGTATAGAGGAATGGAATGGTTAGAAATGGTAACACCTAATGAAATGGTAAAAGTTGGACATCAAGACTAAAAGAATTGTGGACATCCTTGAGAATAGGTTATATAGCAAAGTCTTCCCCGAGTTGGGATGGAAACCTATAAATTGTAAATATTATAATAACTGGAAATTAAAGAATAAATTATAAATTAAATAAAATATAAAATTATAAAATTAAACAAAATATAAAATTATTAAATTAAATAAAACATAAAATTATTAATTAAATAAAAATATAAAATTATAAAATTAAACAAAATATAAAATTATTAAATTAAATAAAACATAAAATTATTAGTTAAATAAAAATATAAAATTATTAATTAAATAAAAATATAAAATTATTAAATTAAATAAAATATAAAATTAAGTGTTTAATTAAATAAAAATATAAAAATTAAATGTTAAATAAATTATTAAATTAAATAGGCCTTTTAATAGGTCTATTTTTTTTTACATATAGTATATAGAGAAAGAGTGAAAAAAATGGCGACAAACTTTGACTTAAACGATTTGACTGTAGAACAACTTATGGCCCTCAGCGAGATAATTGATGATAGCGATAGTAGCGACATTGATGACAAAGTTGAGGAAATATTTACGGACGAGTTCTATCGAGTTGCACCTAAGGATAAGGGCAAAGATCCCTTTGAAGGACAAAGACAATTCATAGACGAAGGCGACCGTTCTACGGATCCTAAGAAGCCAAGACGGCTTCCACTTAACTATAAAGGCAGAAGAGGAATTATGCCAACATGGAAGTATTCCGAAAGACAAAAGGCTAAGGCCCTACTTGTTGAGGAGGCATACCAGAGTTTACTAAGTAGGGGAGTCAAAGGTTTACCACCAACAATGGGAGGAAGATGGCGAACAGATGATCCACAGGTAAATGCTGAAATTAAGAGACTCGAAAACGAGAGGAACCCCAAGCGTCCCAGAGGAAGGCCACCAAAGCCTAAGTCTGATGCAGGAGCAAAGGTTCCCAGAGGTAGACCAGCAAAGCCTAAGACTGATGCTAAAGTTGCGATTCCTAAGAAGCGTGGAGGACCACCGAAGCCTAAGTCTAACGCCGAAGTTAAGGAGAGAACTTAATAGTTGTAAAAAGAACGAAGGAAGTTCTGACTCTAAATAAACCGTGCTATGTGGGAATGAGCATCTTAGACTTGTCAAAGACTTTGATGTATGATTTCCACTACAATGCAATCAAGAAGGAGTACGGTGACGGAGCAAAGTTACTGTTCACAGATACTGACAGTCTTATGTATGAAATAAAGTCGAATGACGTCTACGAGGACTTCAGGAGGATCGGTGAAGAGCAAGACTGCTGGGATAACTCAGATTACCCAAAAGATTCTCCGTACTACTCAGCTCATAATAAGAAAGTTATTGGAAAGTTTAAAGACGAAGCTGAGGGAGTACCAGTAATTGAGTTTGTTGGGTTACGGTCTAAGATGTACTCTTATGTAAAGGAAAATGGTGGAGGTGGAATGACAGCCAAAGGAGTGAAAAGATATGTGATCAGAAACAAGCTCACCCATGAGAACTTTAAGAACGTAATAAATACTAAAGGTAGGATGAGACATAACATGAACACTATCAGAAGCGTCAAGCATACAATAGGAACTTACGAGCAGAGAAAAGTTACCCTTAGCTGTTTTGATGATAAAAGGTATTTACTTGGAGATGGAGTCACAAGTTACGCCTACGGTCACCATGTAATTAGGAAGGTTGACTCTGAGGTGAAATTTGAACAAAGAGTAGACTGGAACTGTCCACAAACTTTAAAACCAGAGATCAACAACTGGACAACCAAAAAGGCTGAAAAAATATGTAACGAAGTCCTTAGCATAAAAGTAGAAACACATACTTCAAAACTAGTACGTAAACTAATAGCACCCCTAAAGAGGTGGAAGTTCAAAAAGCTACAACCGTTAGGAATGCTGGTAACTGATACGAATCACATAAGGAAAAACCTAAGTAGTCTACCTGAAGAATATGAGGAATACTTAGAAGAAGCGATGTACCTGAAAGGGAAGTCGTTAGGTGTGAAAGCTGTTAGAGCAAATCCTGGAAACAACAAGGAACAGATAATCATTGGATACTAGATCCAGCAGAACTTCGTGAACAGACCATGGTTAGTAGAGAGTGGTCTAGAAAATAAATCAAGATTTTAGATGAAGACTAAGATGATTGGCTTGCATTTGGAAAAAGTGATGTATGAGCCAATGTCAAATAGTGGTCTAGAAACCTCAATCCCTATACTACTAACATGTCAGGAAATAAACAGCCAGTGGGATGCTGGTGAAATTGCATCTTACGACAGTGAGATTGGAAAAGACCGTAAGCAGGTAAATTAACAGGAGACACTGGCTGATATGTAGTATTGTTGACTCATTTACTGTCAGTACTTTACCGCTGACGAGTAAAATCAACTGGCATTAGACAGAGTGAAATACATACTTGACTTGGGTATGGAGAACTTCAACTCATTCAAGTCTGTAATGCGAACTACCATACTGAATTAAAGAACACATACAATTGTGGTAATGCACAAACTTTGAAAACGATTTTCCGAGATGCAATAGAGCAAGGACTTTGACAAACTCGATGACATGATGTTTTTAATCTCAAATCTCAATGGTTTAATTGTTATTTGTGTTATATTTGATATTTCGTCTCTTGCTGTTTTGGGCACACAGTAATTATTTCATGTAATTTGCAACATATTCTGTGACTGATATGAGCCAACATGTTGAATTTCGATAAAATGGTCTTGTTTTTTTGTAAAGAGCACTGTTTGCAAACTATGGACCAGTTTCAGGTGAGATAGATAAATCCTATGTCGATTTTGCTATTTGCCTGATGGAAGCATTCTTTCGTAAACAAAAGGCAGCCTTTGACAAGGTGAGTGACCAAGTGAATAATGCCTTAATTTAAGGTGGCTCGATGCACTTTTAAAAATTCAGGTGTTAATAAACACTTTGACATGTTCAAACTACCCATTTTTAGGATTTATTCCTCAGATATTGGGGATTTTATATTTTTGATATCTCCACTTTCAAATTATATAATTAGGTTTAGTAACAGATAGTTTGTTGCTATGACGACATACGTGTACAAAACTCACTAAGTCAATAAGCAAAATATAAAAAAATTCTGTTATGCCATTTTTTGGAAACTGTCGTACTCTTCGATAAAATGATTTGGGCATTACAGAATTTTTTATTCTTTTGTATAATAAAGGTTTTTAGCGGTGCAATACAGCTTGCAAGATTTGAACATAGATCACCAGACAAAATAGTGAAATATAGCGCATTGTTTTTCTAAAATGGAAAATTCTAATGCGTCAACAAATGACATAAAACGCTATAGAGCACTCACAATGACGTGAGATGGCGCAAGCAACTGCTCACATCACCTCATTTTGGACCGCTGAAAGTGATTCTTATCCAATCACATGAAAAAATTGTACAGTCACGTGCGAATATTAATAAATTTCAAAAATAAAAAATTAAAAAATTTGCACTGTATTTCTTTTTTGCACTATATTTCATTTCTTGGCACTCTATTTCGAAAAAATTGAACTGCTCTTAGCCAATCATTTCATGATTTTTTTCTGTGTTGGTGTAATGTACTCAGGTGAATATGATGCTTGTGATGTTACTCGGAGTGTATATCCACACCGAGCAAGGTTGAAAAATATGCCTGACCACGGTGGGAATCGAACCTTCGACCTTTGGAATGCTAGTACAATGCTCTGCCAACTGAGGTACGCGGTCTGGCCGGTTCGAGTATGTGATATTTCGGAACAGAATCTAGTTCCTTCGATATCAATGTAATCTAGTAATCATGATTTTTATTCTGTGTTGGTGTAATGTACACAGGTGAATATGACGCCTGTGATGTTACTCTGAGTATATATCCACATCGGGCAAGTTTGAGAAATTTGCCTGACCACGGTGGAAATCGAACCTTCGACCAAAGGACTAGTGTGGACAGTGTGGAGTGTGGACTTTTCTAAGTAAGTGTGGACAGTGTGGACTGTGGACTTTTCTAAGTAGGTGTGGACAGTGTGGACTGTGGACTTTTCTAAGTAAGTGTGGACAGTGTGGACTGTGGCATAGCAAATGGTGTTTAAATTGGAAAATTATTGAAACATGCATGTTTGGTAAAGCTGTCGGTAATTAAACTGACACTGATGACGGCTGTGCTCTGCTACCCGAGGAAGCAGCCGAAGAAGGAGTATTAATTTAGTGAAAGGAACTCCGCCCAATAAATGGCAATCAAAATGACTAGTTATCTGCAGAGCTTTCGACCCGTAATGTTAATTGCATGCCATATGTTTCATTTGATACGTTCCTAACTATATCTGTGCGAAAAACGTCCTGATTTGTTTGCTCGCGTCCTTTGAAATGTAATTGAGTTCGGTTTATGCTTAAAGTATCATCTCGTAAATGATTCATTTGAAAAGCTTTTCACGTCTGACGCTCGGCGTAACCACGAACGATTACAGGCCTTTCAAAACACCTAAATAAAACCTTATATTTTCCGGTTGGTACTTTTTTGAAATCAACATTGTCAACTCGAATTTGTGGATTAAATTTCGTCATCGTTCATCACTACAAGTGGAGTATATTGGTGCATCTGGTTGATAATTATATGTTAAATCGCAGGAGCCCAAGCGTTGATCTGTGTTAGTGTTGTATGTTTTTCAGTTTATTTATTTTAGTGTCTTTATATTGCCTTTTAATTGAATTGTAACACTAAATTACACTAATATGTCATATAATAATAATACTCCTATAGTCGAACATATAATAACAACATATAAGTTGATTTGTATTTGTATGTTTTTCAGTTTATTTACTTAAGATCTATTATTAGCTGATATAAAAGCACCGCCTTTCGAACCTGACAGCCCGTTCGCAGGATACACGCGTTATTTCGCACTGAAATAAGAAATGTGACAAGGGATGAAATTACAACACGGCGATGTTTTATTTTGAAGCCGTATGTGC